GCGTATTTCCTGTCCAGTGCTAGGTCCATATTTTAGTGATCAATCGGCATTCGGATACTTCCCATGACTTTATCGGGTATACGTTTTAGGCTACGTCGACCTGGATTTGAACCCACGACCTTCAGTCCCACAGGCGAGCGTCTGTCGCTACACCAAGTCGTATCCTAATCTTTGTTATGTTGACATAGTGTTTTTGCTTTGTTATGATTTATAGTATATATATATATATATATATATATATATATATATATATATATATATATATATATATATATATATATATATTATATATATATATCATCGTTGAAAATATGTTAGCGCAGTGAATATTCAATTAAAGACTGGCGCCTTTTTCATAAGACAATCTGACCTTCTCCTAACATAAATAATTTGCAGTGACAATGACAACAAACTTGTGACAGTAACAATCCGATCATAACTGGTGGCAAGATTCTCTAACTTCGCCATGCAGATAGTACAGTCCACCTTTTGAACAAAGGAAATAGAACATTTGATCACGTCTGTACACAAAAAGCACAGTTAATGCGAGAATCTATTCTTGTAATTTAACAAAAATCATAATAATAATGTCCACAGACCACACTGGCTGTCACCGAAAAGTAACAATAAATGATGAAGAAATTTAAAATGTCAAAAACTGTTAACTATCTTGTCTTCGTAATAAACAGCGATGGAGACTGTTTGACAGAAGTCAAAAGGAGAGTGGCCATTGCTATACAAGGATGAGACAACATTAAAGGTTTATAGTTAAGCATCAGCAAGGAGATCAAAGTAATTTTGAGAGGATGCATCTTCCTTGTAGCAACATACAGATGTGAGTCGTGGACTATCACACAGTCCTTAATAAAGAAAATTGGGGTTTTTGAGCTGAAATGCTATAGAAAGATTTTCAGAATACCACAGACAAAGAAGAGAAGAAATACTGACATTTTAAAAGATCTGAACATCAAGGAAGATTGGTTAATAAGCAATATCTTTTCGCAGAAGATGTGGTTTTACACAAGATGTGGTTTTACAGAAAATGTGGTTTTTACAGAAGATGTGCTTTTACAGAAGATGTGGTTTTACAGAAGAATGCTTAAAATACCTTAGACCGCCAAAAAAGAGCAACCAAGGGGTTTTGAAAGAGGCGGGAGCCTGAAGACAACTTATCACAGACATCAGAAAGAGACAGTCATCATTTTTCGGCCATGTTATGGGAAGAGGGAAAAAAGAACATGTTGTGACCAATGGAAATATATGTGGAAGGAGGGATAGAGGAAGACAACGAGAGAAGATGCTTGACAGTCTTGTTGCATGGCATGGAGGTGTGTCGGCACACGAACTGATACATGCTGCAGGAAATCGCAGATTGTGGAGAGGTATGATCGTCCACGCCAATCGGCAAGGCACCTGATAATGAGAAGTTGAACTATTTTGACCATATCAAGATTGGAAAAAGATAATAGCAGAAGGCATGGTACCAGGAATGAGGGGCAGGGGTCGACTAATACGAAGAAGAGGACACGATATAATTCAATTTTTGTAAATGAAATTACATGAGACGGGAGAGCTGGCGAGAGATAGTTTTCTTCAAGCAGACCCTGATGAGAGCAACGTTCTGCAAAGGACCTGCTACATGATGATGCTGATGATGATGATGATGATGATGATGATGATGATGATGATGATGATGATGATGATGATGATGATAATGATGATGATGACAAAAAATCTAATTGGTTACTTGAATGCTTAATTCATTTTTTTAATAGTTGATCGATTATTTGATGGGTCTTTTGGTCGATGGATCAGTTGGTTGATCGGTCAATCTGTCCGTTAATTATTTAATTGATAATGCTATCGACAGTACAGGGTTCAAGATAACGTCCACAGACACAAACTTTATATCACCATAAAATTGAAATCAACAATTTTTAAAAAAAATAGACACTGTTACAAACTTTCAAAAACTTCATTCCACATAACAACAACGGGATTTGGGGCAGGGGAGCTTCCTAGAAATCATAAGAAGATAGTTCCTAGAAATACAGAGGGCAAACCGCAGATTCAATTCATTCTCGAAGCGTTAAGTCTGAGCAAGAAACTACTCCAATGTGCATTTCCAAGAAATCAGTCAGACGCTCTGTGCCAGGAAGACGTATCACATAGTGTGCGTGGCAAGATAGAGCCCGCCTCATTCTCCTTGTCTATCAATCTCGATCTTTAGCATTTGAATGACCAAACCAAATTTGTTACAGAAGGCTAGAAATTCGGCCTGTGAAAATATTTGTTCTGAATATAATTTATAGTTTTCTTTCTTATTTCGTTTCTTAAATACTACTTTTGTCTTTTCGAAATCTTTAAATTCATTCGATTGTTTTTTCTTTTTCTTCCTGGGGTGGCTATAGAGAACCTGCGAGGTGCAGGGGGAGTCGTGTCTATTGTGAAACACAGTTTAGGAACTGCTGCACTAGTCTGCCACCACCATTACGTAAATTTAAAAACCCAAATCCACAACTCAAATAAACTTTCCGTGACCGGACTCGGGGAAATGGTGTCAATCATATGTCACTGCATGATTGATACTTCTAGTTTTCTCCTCTTCCTCATTTAGAAACCGGGTCAAACGAAACTTAAACTAAGTCATTCCCTGAATCTTTTCATATTTTGTAACATGAAAAGTCACATTTTACAACCAACTGACTGAGCCTATCTGGAGGGCGTTTTGCCACCAGACACTTTTAATGGTGACACAGTAGCCGGCTGTCATGTCGACGTTAGGCTAAACCTTCCCATTTTTAAACCCCCCAAAAATTCCAGCAGCCCAAACATTTATCCTGGGCTTGGTTACTGTGGTTGTTTTGGTCTGAGTGATTTATAGATTTATGTGTGTGCGTGTGTGCGTGCGCACGCGCGCGTGCGTTAAAAAAATAAAAGTGATCAACAAAAGTTTTAAAAATCAAAGCATGAAAACCATAATTGTATTCGACATTTTCGTCATCAGCAATTTGCATGTTATTATTGCTTCTACTACTATTGCTACCACTGCTGCTACTGCTACTACTGCTGCTACTACTGCAGCTCCACCTACTGTTATTACTGCTACTAATGCTGCTGCTACTACTACAACTGCTACTACTACTGCTGCTACTGCTGTTACTACTGCTACTGCCGCTACTGATGCTACTACTGCTGCTATTACTGCTATTGCTGCTGCTGCTTATACTTCTTCTCCTTATTATTCTATTCGTCTTCTTCTTCTCTTTCTTTTTCTTTTTCTTCTTTTTCTTCTTCTTGTCTTCTTCTTCTTCTTCTTCTTCTTCTTCTTCTTCTTCTTCTTCTTCTTCTTCTTCTTCTTCTTCTTCTTCTTCTTCTTCTTCTTCTTCTTCTTCTTCTTTTTATTCTTCTCCCCCTCCTCCTCCTCCTTCTTCTCCTTCTTCTTCTTCTTCTACTTGTTCTGCTTATTCTTATTCTTCTTCTTCTTCTTCTTCTTCTTCTTCTTCTTCTTCTTCTTCTTCTTCTTCTTCTTCTTCTTCTTCTTCTTCTTCTTCTTCTTCTTCTTCTTCTTCTTCTTCTTCTTCTTCTTCTTCTTCTTCTTCTTCTTCTTCTTCTTCTTCTTCTTCTTCTTCTTCTTTCTTCTTCTTCTTCTTCTTCTTCTCTTCTTCTTCTTCTTCTTCTTCTTCTTCTTCTTCTTCTTCTTCTTCTTCTTCTTCTTCTTCTTCTTCTTCTTCTTCTTCTTCTTCTTCTTCTTCTTCTTCTTCTTCTGCTTCTTCTACTTGTTCCACTCTTACATCTTCTGTTTCTTGCTCTTGTTCTTGTTCCTCTTGTTCTTGTTCTTTTTATTTTTCTTCTCCTCCTCCTCCTCCTTGATTTTCTCTGCCTTCTTCTTCTTCTTCTTCTTCTTCTTCTTCTTCTTCTTCTTCTTCTTCTTCTTCTTCTTCTTCTTCTTCTTCTTCTTCTTCTTCTTCTTCTTCTTCTTCTTCTTCTTCTTCTTCTTCTTCTTCTTCTTCTACAACAACAACAACTACTACTACTACTACTACTACTACTACTACTACTACTACTACTACTACTACTACTACTACTACTACTACTACTACTACTACTATCACTACTACTACTACTACTACTACTACTACTACTACTACTACTACTACTACTACTACTACTACTACTACTACTAAAGCTTCCGGTCAAAATGGACGCTTGGCAGGGGTACTGTTTGGAGCCGAGGCAAATTTCTTGTTACTGACGGACAGTGGCCGATGCATTTTTGCTCAATTTGTCGACTGGACATAGTTTCGTCGCCCAGCTTCTGAGTTAATTGCATGGCGTGACACTGTGAGTGCGGATTTCATTTGGAATGTTTGTTCGACTGTGACTAACGTGATGATGTGGTTTGTAGATTCAGAAAATGGCGCGATGCCTGTCGTATATATGTTGGTGGTGCCCGTATGTGATTAAAATTGATCGTCTGGGCAAATGCTGATCTGTTGATGACTTCTGCTACCATCAATGATGTACTGCATTTCTAATATCAGACTGTTTGCATTAGCACTTCGGATGGCCAAAGTATGCTTTAATGCGTGTATATGCTAGATATGCTGATTCAGTCTGTCAATCCTTCCACGAGGGACTGTGATAAACATTCTGTGTGTTTCTTGTTGACACAGGAGCGGAGCAAAGATGGGGTGACCTGTTTGCTATGAAGCTGAAACTAAGACTACCAGACTACCAGACTACTACTTCTACTACTACTACTACTACTACTACTACTACTACTACTACTACTACTACTACTACTACTACTACTACTACTACTACTACTACTACTACTACTACTACTACTACTTCTACTACTACTACTGCTACTACTACTGCTACTAATACTACTAATACTACTACTAAACTACTACTACTTCTTGATCCTCATTTTCATCACAATCGTTAACATTTTCTTCTTCCTCATTGTCATCATTAGCATTATCATCACCATTATGATCATTATAACCATCGCTACCTTCTTCGTCTTCAATAAATTTCAATCCTTTACAAATGGAACCATCCCCAGAATTATTTCCACACTGGTGGTGCTTCTTGTACTAACACGAGGTGTGAACTCTTTCGGGAGCGGCGCCCCTGAGAGTGTCTGCGAGAGCCTGATGCCGTCCCACGGGGTGCCCCCTCAGCAGAGTCCATCGCCGTACCAAGTGACCACGTCAAACACATTTGTGACCAAGGGTGGCCAGACCTCTGGTATGTAATTCTTATACAGGGTCGTTAAGATTTATTGCCCTAATTTTTAACTGTTGTTATAAAATTTATATATATATATATATATATATATATATATATATATATATATATATATATATATATATATACACGCATACGCACGCGCACACACTCGCACACACGCACACACTTGCGGAAAGATCATTTTAAAAGTCGCTGTGCGTGGAATAGGCGTTGCGAACGCTCTTCGTAATGCCGAAGCGCCGGGTTTGATCCCAGCTGCCGACCATATGTCTTGCGTTGGTTTCGACAGTGGCACTGAGAGCTGACCGTCCAGCAAGCAATGGCAAACTACTGAACGTAAAATTTGTCTACAAAAACCACAACAGCCAAATAATGGTTGGTTCTTCAACGTTCTGTAAAGGATACGCAACCAACTAACACATTCGGGGTCTTAAAATGTTTAGAAACATCTAAAGTTTTAGACTTACCTTTGTACACTTCAATATGGTCACCACATGTGTACTCTGGTGACGTCTAGAGGGTTCTCAGTCTCCCGTCGCGTCTTCTGAAATGTGCTCTGAATTACAAATTAAATTGCTGCAGCGATTCTCTTTTTATCATTTTGGAAGTTCTGTGTCTTCTCAGGATCGTTTTAAGCGTTAGGATCACATGAGGTCACCAGACACTTTAAGCTTTTCTGAACATTTTAAGACGACATACGTGTATATCCTATAAACACTTCTTTTATAATAGGAGTTTCAAATCTCGTTAATCATTCTCTATGACCTTGTATTTTTTTTTTAACTACAGTTTTTTTTTACATGCACACGCAGAGAGAGAGAGAGAGAGAGAGAGAGAGAGAGAGAGAGAGAGAGAGAGAGAGAGAGAGAGAGAGAGAGAGAGAGAGAGAGAGAACGGAGAGGGACGGGAGACATGCAAACAGAAATACACTGAGGTCGAAGTGGATGTCCAAGTCTTTTTGAGAAAAAAAGAAAAGCTCGACCACGTTCAGACTGCTGCTAGCTAGCCAAGGCTGCTAACAGTCTCCGCCTATATTTGTGGTCTGGGTTATTTGCGTCACTTTCGTGACTGAATTTTAGTGTTTGATCGAAGTGGATAACGGTTAGCAGACATACAAACAGAACGACGGGCGAACGGATGAGCAGGTTGGGTGAATGAACTGAAGGGGTGAAAGATAGAGGGATTCAACGATGCATGGAGGAAGGAATGAATAAACACATTATCTCTAAATCCTCTCAAAATGACTCTCATGGCTTCACTTTGCATGCGTTTCCGTGTCTCTATTTGGCTGTTAGGATCAAGTGAGCAGGCCCAAACCATACCCCAAAACCGAAATTATCAGTTACCTGTTGAGTGTGTAGAAGATTGTGTGTTTCATGTCCGCTGCAATAAGTCGTCTTCTACTTGCTGTAAGTAGTTGATGACCTTGGGCTGGTTGTCTAGGAGATGATGTGTTTAGAGAATGACTTAGCACACATTCTTAAGATGACATAACTGAGACAAGCCGACACCGACTCCAAAGTACGATACAGTTTATTGACATCTTATCACTTACATAAAATGTCTCGTCCGTGTCCTAATTCACAGCTTACACGCACCACATTGTGCAGACGCCAACACGCTGACTTCTCACACATTCATCGACCAGAGTTCGGCGCCTTCACTTCCACATCGCCGCATAGACGGATCTGGTCATTTCCTCAAGCTTCATACCACTTGGCTTCACTTGACTTGGCTTCGATGCATGTTGTCGTCTGCTCTTCCTCTCGCAACAATCAGTTTCACGTTCTCATTATCCTGAACACTCTTACGTCCTCTCGCTCTGACAGTCAACACATACTAACACATACTAACTAGACAAGACTGGGGTCTGAACGTGTACCCAGTGTTCGTTCCACGTGGCTACACGTGGTTATGCTTGGGTTCCACGTGGCGACCTGTGGTCGTTCTCTTTTATTTCCACGTGATAACTCGTGGTCATCCCCTATCTTGAAAGCCTCGGTTAATCCTAGTATCTGGCTTCTCTCGGTATTATTGTTAGTTTGGGCCTTTTCCCCCAACCTTCCCAATCAGGGTGAAAATAGAGAGGGAATTAAAGACTATGATAGAATCACTAATGAAGAGCTTTATGGGAGAACTAAACAAGTTTCAGTGGGCCAAGAGGTGTGAAAAAAGACTGCCGTTGGATAGGACACACGCTGAGGGAACTTGAGAACAATATAACTAGAATGTCTTTGC